GAATTGAGGCCAGCCTGGTCTACATAGTGAGTTCCAGGCCAGCTGGGGCTACAAGAAGACCTCGTCTCAAAAAGACCAAAATGAATAAATAATAAATAATAAATTAAGTGTCAATTAAAAATAAAATGCTTTTCAAAAATAAAATTGACTTTTTCTTAATATTGATATTTCCGTACTGATCTTTTGTGGCAAGTTGTTAATATTTGATTTGTAGCCTTTCTTTTATTCGTGGAGGATTAGACATTTTTATGCTGATATTTCCTTTTAACTTTATTTTTTTCAGTTTTGATATATGCTTTCTTCCAACAAGATTTCTGAACATGATCCTTATGTATTTTACTGTTTCTAAACTTCTTGTAGATTAACAAATGTCAACTTTTTTATTTATTCAGAAAATGTATGCAGTGTTTTTAACCATAATCATATATGAGCACATTAAAAAGAATCTTACAGCTGTAAATTTAGAGCTCAAGCACGAGAGGGCGCTGCCTCTCCATCTGGTAATGGACACCAGGTGAACTGAGGGCATAGAGCTCAGTCACTCCTTGTGATTCCAGTTGGTTATAAGGCTGTCTCAATTTTTTTAAAATCCACCCAGGGTCCCCCCATTCCACCCCTACCCTGGCCTTAGGTATCATCAATGACAGGATGGAAATGCCTTTGAGTGACAGTTTTCACACTTTCCTGTAGGCTGCAAGAGGTCAGAAACAGCATCTTTTGCCTGCAGGGCTCTGCAGTTTCACTGTTCCTGTTCTCTGGCTGTCGAATTGTGTGACTAATGGGAGGTCATTGCACTTTGAGCACATTTCCTGCGAGTAGGCATGAGGACAGCCTCGTCCACTCTGCTGAAGGAGCTCGTTCTTTGCAGAGTGTGAATCTGTGAAGCACCACACTTGGCTTCTTTGGAGGGCTCAGCAGTCTTATTTCCTCCCATTCTTCGTGGCTTTCCAACACAGCTGGAATGGGCCTGGTGGCTGAGCTCTGACCCACTCTGAACCAGTGTGGCACCCCTGTGGGAATGAGGAGGCTCCCTCATCTCTCTCATCAGGACCCCGACTCAGGTAGCACTGTGCCCACAGCAGAGTTCTGAGAGAGCTTGCCTCTCTGCCTGGCAGGAGACCCACAAAGTTCCCTTCTTGTGTGATTCCTTTCACTGGCCTTCAGCTTTTCCTGGCCACTGGCCCAGAGTTCTTAACATCCTCTGATTCACTTCCCTCCAGGCAGAACTTAAACCTTTTCTTCTTGGCCCTCCCACAGATCTAATCCTCTGCCAAGTCCTGTGCATTTCAAGGCATAGGGCTCCAGCTTCTGAGGGCCAGAATCCTACTTTAACCAGTTTCCATCAGTGTAACCAGGGGCTCATGCTGGCCTTTCTCAAATCTTGGCTTAGCCATTTATTGTATGTGTAACTGGGAGAGGATTCCTTTCCATCCCTGAACTTCCATGTCCTCATGTACAGAATAAGGGTATTAATGGTTGTTGCACTTGGGGTTGTTTGTGTTAAATGAGACAATTAATGTGAAGAACTTGGCACTTAGAGTCACCAATTGCTGCTTTGTTTTTAAACCAGTCGAAATGTACCCATTTCTCAGGATTGTTGTATTAAAGTTCCATATTAAGTTCCTAGCCATGCTGCTTTGTTAAGTAATTTAACTTTCAAGAACTCTCTCATCCTTCTACTCTATTTCCTAGACTCCTCTGGACATAGAAAAGTTGCCTCTTCCACCTCAGTGGTGTCACCACCTCTACCTACCCACCCTCAGCTGGGCCTCCACAGCAACAGTGGACAATGTCTCCTTTCTTCCCCAGCCTCTGATTGTAAAAATGGTAACCTTACTTTACTGTTCTGATTCTTACGTCTGTGGCCAGTGTTTGCACCTAGTTGGTAGGGCTTGTAGCAATCTCCTTGCAAGTTGGAAAACCCAGGTACAAAAACCTACTGACTCCTAATCAATAGGGATAATAATTGTGCTTCCGTCCTAGGATTGTTGGGCTAGCAACACTATAAGAGTGAGTGGCCTTGGCATGAGCAGCGTGGGCCTGCTAGAGTTAGTGTTCTACCACTTACTGATCACATACTCCTTGCTGTTTTGTTGTTGTTGTTGTTGTTGTTGTTGTTGTTGTTGTTGTTCTTTTTGCTTGTGGTGCCAAGAACAAACCAAGGGCCTTACACATACATGATAAGCAATTTACCAGTGAGCTCCCCTATAGCTCTTCGGTGGGTTTCTGATCCAAGGTTTGGGCACTTGCATACTGGGTAAACCCAAAACACAGTAACCAACACCAGGCTCCTCATGGGTCAAAACAGTGAACTGAGGCCACATAAGAACCACTGGGGAACTGAAGAGGAAAGAAGACAACATGGTTGGTTATCCATTAGAAATCCACATAGGTACCACTGTTGAGAGAAGGGGGCTCAGAAGTAGCCCACTCAGGCGGGGGGCTTTCTGTGTCCAGAGGCAGAGGAGAATCAGCAGCTATTTTGATGTGCATGTGCTGGGTTGGGGTGAAGGTATTATCTGTATTAAAGGACTACAAAGATTTTTAGTGAGAGTATTAAGAGCAGAGATCTGGCCAAGCATGATGGTGGTATACACCTTTGATCCCAGTACTCTGGAGTCAGAGGCAGGCAGATCTCTGTGAGATGGAGGCCAGTTTGGTCTACATAGGGAGTTTCGGGCCAGCGGGGGCTACAGGGAGACTCTGTCTCAGAAAAGCAAAACAAAACAAAAGAGCAAAGAGCTGACTTGAGACGAATATAGCCAGCCTATAGAATTTGACCCTAAATATATCTGCTTCCAAAGCATGTGGTATTAATGCGGTATTATTGTCTCAATAAATATTTGCATAGTTCAATGAAGGTATTCATCTTTCTGTCACTTCCTGAAAAAAGTTTTTCCTTCTGTTTGTGCCTATGTCCATATTTATGAGTTTTGCATAGGGATTTTCTCCTGAATCTGTGCAGTGGAGTTGGTGTTATTGTAAGGTAAGGCACAGTGGCTCTGCCTAGTCAGAAGGAAGAACTCCAATCACTAAGCAACCGTGAAGTGGGGAGGAGGATTGGGAGCCATTTGAGGACATGAGACTGCGGGAAAAAAATGAGACAAAATGTCAGCCCAGTAAACAGCACGTGAGCAGTTAAGGGGGTGACTTGGAGACTGAGAAGAGCTCCCTCTGAGTTAAGAATTACTGCTCCAAAGGTTTTAGGGTCTTTAAACCCCTAAGGATTTAAGGATTTGTAATTCTATGCTATATAATACCTTAAAATCAGGGATATTAGGATTCCAAGGATTTTAAATCCTTATAGCCTATGCTATAAGAGGGACTTGAGCAATTTATGAGCTATGAAATGCTAAGAGCTGAGGACCCAAAACAAGGATTTTAAACAAAGCACTGGACATGCTAAAATACTAATTAATCCTCCTTCAATTTAAAATCATTCTTGACTTAACCCTTGGGACAGTGGTTCCAAATTGTCTTCCCCACAGTCTGGAGACACCTGAAAGTGCTTCATAAAACAGTGGAGCATGTTGACCTGTAAGAAAAAGGACAGCGCAGGGAGGGATTTGGGGCCCCATCCTTGGCTTCTCTGGGGCAACTCCATTTTTATCTGATTTACTTGTCAGACTACTGCATTCAATTCAGGGAAAGGGCTTTCATGATAAGTTTTCAAACCTCTGTTCTATGACAAAGGAACCCTTAATCTGTGTACCACCATTCGACAGTAAAGAGTGACCCAGCAAGCCATAATAGGCTGTTGGCTTTATTTTTTGTTTTCTTTTTTCTTTGTTTTTAATGCTTATATACACTGCCAGCATGCTTTGACCCATAAACCATCAAATAATGGCAAAGAGATTAAGCACAGAGACCTGACAGATCATTCATTAGTTAAATAAATCAGTCATTAACACACTCAAGCCTATAAACACATTTATTTTCTAAAATCACTAATGGCGAGTAGTACAAATGCTGTCAACTATGATTACAACTATCTGCCAAGCAGTTTTCCCAAGTGCCACAGCTTGTGCTAACTCTTTTCTTTATATCATCTCACTGAATCCTCACAATCACTCTGACGGCAATGATCACTAGGGTCCTAATGATACAGATAAGGAACCTTGAGCTTAGAGTAGATAAGTAACTTGCCCACGGTCATGCATCTCACTCCTGGGAGATTCCACTTCACTTACCAGAAGGAGCATAATGGACTGAGGAGTTAAGGTGGTCAAAGATCAACTGCCTGACAGCCTTCCACCAGAACAAAGTTCAATTCGGATCGGATCTATAGGTGGTACTACCAGTGTGTGTCTGGTAGCCTGCTCCAAACAGTACTATTTAGGATAGGAACCTAGCCAGGGTTCCGATCTCAGGTAGGTTGTCTCACATTGAGACAAGAGAAAAAGGAAAATAGGCACATGTTTGCTCCTCAGTAAGATGGCATTAGGTTAGCCGGCCCCCTCCACAGTTAAGGAAAGATACAAGAACATGGGCAAGTGTGTCAACACTGTTTCTACTGAGAGATGCTTTGAGAAGAACTAGGGACATTTCTTTCAGCATTTTCTGAGCCCTTCTTTGTGCCTGGCAATGTGTTAGGCTACGAAGTCACATAAGGATAGGAAACACAGCCAGTCTTTCTGCATGGTGAAGGAGGCAGATGCTATCACAGGTGAGGCACTGGGCCTGGACTTGGAGGCCTGGAGAGGCTCCCCACAGGAGGGTTGTGTGAGCTACTTCTATTGAAAGAATGGGAGTTTAATAAGCATACAAGAGTGGAAAATCATTGCAGGCAGAAGTTGAAAACCACAGAAGAATTTAAAAGTATGCCACATTCAAGGACAGGCAGTGTAAAATTCAAGGGTAGAGAGAAAGAGTATGAAGAGACAGGAAAACAATCAGATGATTAGCATCAGGCATGGTAATCACAGTACTCCAGGTTGAGGCAGAAGGATTGCTGTGAGTTTGAGGCTAGCCTAGACTACATAGCACTAAAACAGCCAGGGCTATATAGCAAGACCCTGTCTCCAATAAAGCCCCAAACAAACAAACAAACACAAAAGCAAATGATTGCAAGGGCACACTAAAGACTCAATCTGTGAATATGTAGCATTGCTTGCATTATATAAAGATGTACTTTCCTAAGAAGCCATAGCTCCTCAAAGTAATCTGTGAAAGAAAGAACAAACCATAAGTCCAGCTACTAGTGAAGCAAGACCATGACCTGATTTGGTGGCTAATATGCAGACAGATTGCAAAATAAAACTCTGGAAGCAGAAAAATTAGTTGAAGAGTAATTGGGGCAAGAGTGACTGGGCAGTGGAAAACACTGAGGGAACCAAAGAGATAAACTGACAGAATTTAACAGGTTCCCAAACATCCCTCCTCATATGCACATGTCCACCTCCAGGGCTCAAATGAAAAGACACATCTAACAACCACCACCCCCCGAGTCCTCATCCTCTACCCCTAACTTTCAAGCTTCCTTGTGGCAAGGAGCTTTATTCTTCCTTTTCTAAGCTGTCCTTGAAGTTTAATCAAGCCTGATTTCAGGAGTTGATGGAGAGAGGCTGCCTTGAGACTAAGTCCCCAGTCCTACATTCTAGAAGAGAAAAATCTGTCAACTGACCTCAGGTAGAGATAGAATGAATTGGCCTTGAGCTGGTCTCTGACCCTCCACTCATGGCTTCACAACATGGGCAGAGTTCAGTTAAGAAATCAGCAGAGTTCCAAGAAAAAGGCAAACGTCATCCAGTTTATTTTTCTCCTGATTCATCTGGTGCCAATACCCAGATTTAATGAATAGAAGGCAAAGTGAGGTGCGGGTCTCTAGATAAGCTCATTCTCAGGACCGATCACTCCTTCCCTTCCAGCAAGGTGTTTGGATCTTGTGTTGGTGTCCCTGAAGGTGAAGCTGGAAAGGTTTTTTCACTAGGAGACTAGATTATGTGGCTACTTGGGAGAACTGACCATGATGGGTGTCAAAGAGCCCTGGAGGGTGACTGCTCTCTTGTGCCAGGGCATCCCCGGTCCTGCTATGCTTCTTGGGTGCTTCAGAAATCAAGTCTTCCTTCCTCTCTAGGTCTCAGGTACCTCCGTCTGTTGACATAAGAGCAGCCCAGATATAACATGCTAGAAGCGTAGGCTCCTAGGCCCATCAAAGAAGCCAGGGTAGGCTGGTCAGCTTAAGAGCACAGGTTTCAGTCCTGAAAATCTGTGTCTGGAAACTCTTGGCTAATCAATGCCATTGGAAACTTGCCAGTCATAACTGAGACTGCTTTAGTTTGGACAGGTCAGGGGTGGGTCAGGGGAATGAGCTGTGGCCTTGTGTGGTGTGGACACTGGTACCCTCACACACCCTTCTGGGCCCTTTTCATCGGTTTCTTCTTCATCATTATCTTCTTTATCTTCCTCATCCTCTTCACTGTCGGAGTCCTCATATAAGTTGATAGTGGCCTGGACAGGGAAGTTCTGTAGTAAAATCTCCCCAGCACTGTACAAGTAGTCAAAGGCACAGGATTTAGGCCAGAAGAGCCTGTGAATAGAGAAGAAGTGAAGTCCCTAACTTAGGCAACTTTCCTATGCGGTTGGGGGGGGGGTCAGGTGGGTCAAGAAGGAAGCCATTCCCTGGACCCCTTCTCTTGGCTACAGGAAAGAATCAGAGGGACAGGAAGAAAAAAAGTTTCTTCACAGAACTTTTGCAATTGTTACAACATGGCTCCAGGAAGGAAAGTCACCTCTGACAGGCATACAGCTGTGATAGAGGGTGGGTCACTCAAGCATCTCTCAGTTCTAGTGCTGACAACACTACCACTCCATCCCAGGAGGCTTATAGACAAGAATTCTCCAGTCCTGTGTTTCCCCCCTTTTTTTTCCTACTAATGATTCTTTCACTGATGGGTGCACATCCTTAGGGCTCAATAACAAAGACTTTAGGGAAACTAAGCTTGGCCTAGTAAGTCTCTTGACCTGTCTGGGCTTCAGCTTCATATCCTGTGAAACTGATTTTCTTGCTTCATGGGCCTGTCACGAGCAAATACAGAGCTCATGGATGTATGCCAAGTTCTGACCTAGTTGCCAGAATCTTACCTGACTGGGTGATGGAACTCAGAGTCAGCCTTGGCGGCCTCAGCAGCTGTTGCGCCACCAGCAGCCTGTCCAAAGGAAAAGCTAGCATGGGGCATAACTGCTTCGCCCATATCAAGGTGAGAAATCTGCTGGTCCAATGATCTACAAAAGACCTTAGACATCTTTGCGGTCCAGCCACCTCCCAGCCCTACCCTACAGCAAGGGGGTATGTCTTGGATCTGGTTGGAAAACAAGTGGACAGAATCGTGGGGGTTGTTTGCTTTCCTGCCCCTGTTCCGTTGCCTGTTTGGAGGCTGTCCAGGGGACAGAGTTCTTCTAGAGGACAATGCACCCAGGGAGGGGGTGAGAGAGTACTGGGACAAGGTTCTGAGCGACCTGGATTTGAGCTCTGCCACATACTAGCTGTGGGACCTGCTGAGCTCTTTTCCCATGCTGAGCCTCAGTCTCCTCACCTCATTTGCCATGGAAACTTTGGTCCTGCCTTTCTCCCAGAGCTGTTGTAGGGATAGAATTTTAGCAAAGCTAGGATACTACCCTAAATTATCAGTCCTTGACTGGGATCAGGGACCTTCTGGGAAAAGATATGGCTGCAAGTACCTGTGTAAATGTGTGATAGGGACTCAAACTCACCCAGTGCACCAACTCCCTCACCTGCCTTAGTTGGTCATTTGTGGAGGATAACCAGGGCCTCCAAAGATAAGTTCCTCTAGGACAAAAAGGAAAGATCAATTAGTGGAGGAAGAGACTGAAAAATGGGCTCCCTCAGGTCACAGAAGTGACTTCCAAAAAGCTTGGCTCACATGACATCTGCTCCAAGCTGCCTTTTTTTTTTAATGTTCCCTGTCCCCTAGCCTAGGCCATGATAGATGCTCCGCCTCCCCCCTCCCCCCACACTCCAGCGGCATTATTGCTCTTCTTATCCTACTGTTTTGTGATTATTTGAGCTTCATAAACTAAAAGATATGTGTGAGTATATCTGAATCCTTAATACCTAGCAGAATGTATCATACACAGGATTTCAGCAAATGCTTACTGAATATGAAATGATTGGCGGATGAATGAGAGTTGGGTAAAAAATATCTCGAGGCCTACCTCCTGCATCAAGTAGTAGAGCTCAGAACTCTGTCATCTCCCTAGCTGGAGAAGTGATGCCAGAATATTTCTGGGCCTATTGCTTACCTTCTGCACTTTCAGAGGTAAGAAAAAGCAAATGGAAAACTTCTGGCATGCTCAGGACAGAGGTGCACCCCAACCAAAGGCCTCTTTAGACTTTGGCCCTCTCACCCTATGTCTCCTGCGACAGTCTAGGTCCCACAGTCCAAGTTGCATTATGTTCAATTTCCATGGCAGCCACCCCCATGTCCCTCAGTGAACTGTACAGGCTGACCCATGAGGGTCAGTCTGCTTGGCCTTCAGCTTTGGCAATGTTCACTGTCCCTCAGTCCCCTTCTGCCATCCCGGGTGATAAATGAGGTGAAATATTCCAGCCAGAGGTATAAGAGGGTTGAGGTGGTTTTGTCTCCTCTTCATAGAGAAGAGGGCAGGGAGATAGTGAACATCTCATCTCCCACTCTCAGGAGCCCCCATCCCTGAGTTCAGGCTGTCCAAGGCCAAGTTCTACTTACCTTTCATTCCCAGGGCCTTCTTGTCCAGGGGCTTGTACTAGGACAGGAGCTTGTGCCACAGGCAGGCCAGGGGGAGCAGCAGCAGGGACAGCAGGGTCCATCCTTGGGACACCAAGCCAGGCAGACTGTGTGGGCTCTCCTGGTTCTCAGAACCTTCAGCGCTCTTTTGGCCTTTCCCCAGGGACCCTTTTATAAGCTCTGCCTGGACGCATCAATTATTCAGGCAGTGTAGGGAAAGGAGTAGGAGGGGGTGAAGATCTAGGGAGAGAGCCCCTGGAGAGAGAGTTGTGTTCTTGGGTGTGAAATCTCTCCCAGTTGAGTAAACAGAGTCCTGGTGGGGGTGAGGGGTCTGCTATAGCTCCAAGTCAGAAAGATAAACAAAGAAAGGGAAAATTTCACACCATTTGTGTGAATTCCCCAGGCAGTAGCAAGGCCCAAGGTGGGAAGGAGGGGAGCTCATTAGCACCCAAAAGCACCTAGGGTTGGTGGGGCAGAGGGGTGAGTACATAGACCTTTATAAAGCTGCCAGCTCTTAGAAGCATGAGGGACTCACCAGCTCTTTCAGCTCAAATCCCAAGTAGACTTGCCAGGTAGACCTGATTACAGGGTCACTGCCATGAAGCATGTCATGTGGTTTAGGATAAAAAGGGGTTCTGGGAAGAGCAGGTCCAGTCTCCTGAGGTGTAAACCTCAAGATGTCTTTCAATGCCTTCTACCCCCACACTGCTCAGTTGACTTGCAAAAGTGCCTGAAGCCCCCCTCCAGTCTCAGGAGAAAGTGGTGTGGTGTGGGAAGCAGGCCGCTGGGAGTTTGCAGCACAGATTCCAAATGGCACTGCTCAGCTTCCCATTTAGGAGCCCCGTCCTGGGGGCAGGGAGGGTTCTGCCCATCACTGAGCTGCCAAAAGACCATCCGAGGCCTCAATCCTCTCACGTGAGACAAGGGTGTTGGCGCAGTGGTCCCCAAGGCCCTGCCAGCCTGAACACTCTGACAGCAGCTGGGTGATGAGACTGACCCTGACAAGCCAAAAGGCTTGAGCACAGTCTTTGGACTTAGCCTAGTTCTGGGTCTTTGCCAAAAAGCTTCCAGTTACAACAGCTGGCAGGCACTTTATGCTTAGAGGTTTCAAAAATATTCCTCCTGACCTCAGTGGCCAGCATCAGTTCAGATTTAGTGTCTTGGATATTCATCACAGCCTTGTTTGTAATGTTCAAAAATTAGAAACAACCTCAGTGTCCAATAATAGGAAGCCAATTATATTTATTAATTAGGGTAAATCCTTCCAACCAAACACTAATTAGGATTAATTTTCTAGGAAGTATAGTTATCAATGTAGAAAATGTAAAACTAATTGATAAATAATATGACTAATTTGATTCAAGGGCTCCTCACCTCCACTCCACTTGAATTCTGTCTCATTGTGTTCTTTACAGAAAAGAAAAAGTTGAAGACAGGGCTGGGGATATGAGTGAGTGGTAGAGCATAACATGTGTGTCAAGCCCTAGATTTGATCCCCAGTATCAGAAAACAATGGAAGAAAACAATTTCATGTTAAAATTGGCCTGGTAGACAAATGAGTAAAAGAGTTAGTGCATTGAGGAGTGAAAAAAAAGCATACGCTTCTAAAATATTATGTAGGGTGCTACCATTTTGGTAAGGAGAAAATGTGGAATGTACAGTATGCATGTAAAAATGAGTGGTTAGAAGAAAGGATGTTAAAATTGTCAGTTCTAGAAGCAAAATGGGAAGGTGAGTATTTACTTCCTTCTTTACACCTTTCTCAATTTTTGAAAAAAGGTCCACAATGAAACTGATACTGTTTGGCTAACAAAAGTAAAGGCCGATAAAAATACAAAGAAAAAATGCTCATCTGTGTAGGAGAGAAAAACCCTTGGGGGAATGGCAGCCATTTTAAAATATATGAGGATTAGACAGCAATGAAATTACACTTGTTCTGTGTGACTTCAAAGAGTAGGACTGAGGCCCAAGTTACAGGGAGACACATTTTGGCTCAATCAAAGGAAAACGTTCTCTCAGCTCAGCCACCATCTAACTCAAGGGCCTGGCACTGTACCTGCCCTCAATAAACAGAGGTTTATTATATGAGATGAAATGAGTCCCGCGGAATGTGCTGCCTGGGACTAGGGCAAGTCCTCCACTCCTGAGTGTTGTGAAGTTCAGGCTTGTTCCTGGATACTGAAGAAGGGGGATCCTGTAGGGAAATGGGAGACTGCTGGGGAGGCCGAGCTTCTCTCAGCCTTGTGAACATTCTTACTGATAGACATTTGCTTTTCTGCCTCACTGGCTAAAATGCAATGAGACTTAGAGAAGGAACAAAGCCAGAAGACTGGGCTGAAAGGAAACAACATGCAAAGCAGGGAGAAGCCCAAGACATATGATCATACCCTGGAATTTTTTGACCTCTGAGTGACCTCTCACAATAAGCAGGAGGGAGAAGGAAAAAGGGGGAAGGCATGAACAGTTTTCTGGAGGCTCCAGTTCATGCTCAGCTCCACCTAGCCATGTCACCCATCATGCTACCTCTGACTTTGAAATTGCATTCCTTCGGCTACTCCCTCCACCCCCTGAAGCAGCAGCCTTCAGGGGTCCCCTTAAGCCTAGCTTCCAGCAAGTTCTACCAGTTCCCAGGGAGCCTTCAGTCCTGTCTGTCTCCCTAGCTCTTGGTTCTCTCTATACAACTGCTTTGCATTGCTGCCTCTTACAAATTGCTTAAGCATCACCCAGCCCTGGAGGAAATGTAGACATTGACCCCACTTGTTGGATTAAATGCCAAACAATGGGAGCTTGGCCCTTTTCTCTTGCAATTAGCACATAACAGAAGTAAGATGGTCAACAGGGTAGGAGGAAAGATCAGACTAAACCAAATGTTCCAATAAAGGCAATTAAGATAGTACCTACTTTCTCTATCAGTACTATAGTGTGCTGCGTTTTATCAGTGATTGTTTTGCCAGATTTTTCTGAGAGGACTGGGTGCCTTCTCTGGGCCAAACACTTTGTTGCACATTGTCTAGTGAGGAGTTGGGCTGGAAACAGGAAAGATCCGTGGCTCCTGCCCCAGGGCGCTCACAGCCTAGTGAATGAGACAAAACTTGCTGGAGGGGCTTGGAGAGTTGGTTCAGCGGTTTAGAGCACTGACTGCTCTTGCAGAGGACGGGAGTTTGATTCCCAGCACCCACATGGTGGCTACGAACCGCCCTCGAAGCCCTCTTTGGTTGTGCAGCATTGCAGCATTGCAGCATTGCAGCATTGCATGACACTGGTGCACTCACATACAAGCAGGCACTCGTACACAAAATAAAAATAATAAATAAAATATTTTTTAAAAAACTTGCTGGAGGAAGACAGATTTAATAAGCCTCTGCCAAGCCGGAACCCCTTCATTATCCTCAGACAGGTTCCCTTGTTAAGTCCCTAAAGCAGCCTCCACGTTTCTCTGGGCCACATTCCAAACTTCTTTAGGCTCCCTACCATGTTCCTGCCCCACCCCTCTCCCTGCTCAGAACAACCCCTCCTCCTACTTCCCTGAGAAAACAGAGGCCTTCAAGCATGAATTACCTCAGTACCCTGCCCCACCTCCCAAAATTGGCCTGCCTCTCCAACTTCCTTTCCCTCTACCCCCCCCCCCCAAACAGGGGACAAGGTCCCCCTTTCGTTAAAGGCTAATCCCTCTTGGGTTTGGCTTCATTCACCTTCCTTTTCCTGGCTGTTCCTCCAGGAGAGTGTGCTTCTCTTCAGGAAAACCCAGCTTCCCTAGACCAAAGCACAAAATGCCTGTTGCTGTTACCACCTAAAACAAGCACCCACCCTCCCCACCGTGCTCTCTTACTCCCCTAACACCTCTCTCTCTCTCTGCCTTTCTATTTCTCTCTCTCCATCCCTCCCTCATCTCTCTTCTTTCCTTCATGCTCAAATTTGTTGAAAATAGAGTCTAAACTAGGCTTACACTTGCCCCAGCTTTCCGTTCACACCTTAGCCAACTGCAATTTGGCCCCAGTTCAATCATCCCAGTGAAAGGGCATCAACAAAGGTCACCAATGGCCTCCTAATTGACAAATTCAATGACCTCTTTGAACTATGGCTCTTCTTTCCAGTCCATCCCCTTCCTAGGCAATATCCAGGAAAGGCACTGTTAGCCAAGTGGTCGTTTCTGAATTTCTTCTTCCTCTTTTTGCTTCCAGGATGATCACTCTCCCCTGATTTTCCTGCTACCTCTCATTTCCCTCTCCCTCCCCTTTCTGTTCCAACCTATAATCTTTATTTCTGGGAGTTGAATTTCACAGTCTCTAGTCATTCATTCATTCATTCATTCATTTATTTTTGGCTTAGAACTCCTTATGTAGACCAGGCTGGCCTGTAAATCAGAGAGAACCACCTACCAAATGAAAGCATATGCCACCACACCTGGCCTTTATTTTCTGTTTGTTTGTTTGCTTTGTTTTGAGACAGGATCTTATTTTAGCCCAGGCTGGCCTGGAGCTCAGGGTCCTTCTGCCTCCACCTCCTGCTGAGATTACAGGCATGTTCCATTGGACCTAACTCCAAGTCTTTTAAACTGACCTCTCTTCTGATTATTTCTCCAATCAGTGGCCCTCAGATCAAGATGAAACAGTGGTGATTTCATCAGGTCACAGCAAAATGAAAGAAACTTCACTAGGAGAAGTTTTCAACAATTCAAATTTATTAAACCATAAACAACTGCCTTTCATTCTGAGATTAGGTCCTTCCTAGTTTGGAGTGATAAAATGGATCTCCTTTTAAAATGAGAGTGCTTGTAAATGCTAGTTTATTTCTTTAATGTTCCCACTTGGTAAAAGGAAATGTTAGTTTCTCAGTGTCAGTTACATAAATATATTTTAAATGAGGGAAAGAACAAGAGTTATATTTCTGTCCTGAAAATTTCCCAGTGGGTGTTTCAAACTCATTCCAAAGTTGAATGATTCTTCTTCCCCAGCAAGCGTCCTTCATACCCAACTTGTACTCAGCATCGAATTGATCCAGTCACTTGAGTTAAAAACCTTCACTTGTCAATTTGAGTCTTTGCTGTCCCTCACATTTGTCTCCCCAAGCCTCCCCACTTCCCAGGTGTTTCAGTAATGACTTTATTTGTCCAAACTCATCTGTATGTTGTGGTGGCACAAAATTAACTGCAGTTTTTTGCATTGTTGAAATTTGCCATTTCATGCTAGAATGCACTCTTTTTTAAAAACTTTATTTTTGAGAGTTTATACGTGATTGTACATGAATTATTTTCAACCCTTCCAGTCCCCTTCTAACTCCAAACTCTCCACTCCCTCTAAATTTCTCGTCCTCTTTGAGTATTATTGATATATATATGGTTTAGGACTGCCCATTTGGAATTAGGTAACTTCTCAGGGAGCTAGTCCTGGGAGAAAATTGATTCTCCCTCCCTCAGTGTGTTATATACCATTTTAATGTACTTTTTTATGTCTTTACTAATGACTTAAAACTTACTATTTATGTTTATTTTATACTATGAAAAAGATATTAGACAAAAAGTCAATTTTCAGAAAATACTATGCAAGCTGCTAAGGGAAAAAAAAAACAATCAAGGGTCCAACTCTAGATTTAAAGTCTAATAACCACAACAATGACAGAGAGCAATTTATCTCTATCAGTGCAGCAGTAGTGGAACTTTTATCTTCAAGTTAATCAACAGCTATCTAATTGGACTTAGAGTCCGCTCAATGGGAGGGAACTCATGTATGATACTGTAAACACAGCCAAATACACATGGTAGGAGAGGTCATAGCTCCTAGAGAAAACCTACATCTGTCACATCCCTAAACAAATGTAATTTCTTACTATATGCTAAATATGTATCTTTGTATTTGCAGACAAGTATACCTAT